TAAAGAAAAAGGTTCACATGTAGCGGGGGACATCCCTATGACCCTCATGTATACTAGTAGGCTGGTTAAATGATAAACGGTTATGATTTGATTTACTATAATTGATATGAATCTATGATACGTTCTATGTTGCTGATTATTCATAAAGTTATGATTGGTATGGTATTATTGTCTCTATGGGTTGTTTTCATAAATTCTATTATGCTAAGTGAACGGTAAATAATTTTATTATTAATAAATAAATTTGTTAAATTTAATGTTCCATTAGTTATTTTGATTTTATACCAACCTTTACTTCTGTGCAAGTGATATAGTGTGATATCCTTAGTGGACTAGTGTACCTGATCCTTTATTTAACCATTTCAGATCAAGAGGATCTGGTTCCAGAGCCCGATCTAAAGGAAGATTGCGAGTAGATACTAGATACTTTCTATTTTTCATTACTTTTCTTATTTCTCGTGTTCCTTTCAAGGATTTCATTCCGTAATATTTGTTTAGTACTTTTAAGTTATTGTGTAAAGAATGTAAACCTTAACATTTTATTTCGTTTCCGTATTTAAATTATTATATATTTATTTTTTGTATTTCCGAGGTCGTTACACTCTTAGTTATGAAAATTAAAAACAAAGTTGTGCGTGATCCATTGAGTACCAAAGAAATTTCTCAAACTTATTGATGTGGATTGAGTTATATTACTAGCTGATGTTATAAGGAAAGTGTCTCCCTATACGAATATTAGAAAGTTTCATGACTCGCATAACCATATAATTTTTGCAATTTTTATTGAGTAAAAAATAATAAAGATAAAAAATTATTTTATAAAATACTTTATCAAACTAATTTATATAACGTGAGAAATACTATAATAATTAAAAAAAAAAGATACGTGATAGATGTGAATCTCCACCAAATCTTACTCAACGAGACTTCTTTCACCTAAATCTTTATCCGAATAATCAAAAACTACTCTTTAACACAAGTACCTCGAAGTATCATCAAAAGTATAACACGATTTTGAATAAAAGTCTCATCTCACATATTTTACTAAGAATCATTAACTAATGTTATAGTTTTTGAGAATTAAATTAATACTGATATTTATTTACTTAAAAAGCTATTTCTGAATAATTAAATCTCAAATAATTTCATTTACTACAATTAATCTTGTTTCTTATAACACAATTTTATATAAAATTAAAAATTGAGAAAAATTATAATTAATGCAGTATTTTATTACTATTCTATAATTCTGTAAGGAGTTATATTTTAATTACTTGACCACCTTCTAGTTTAAGTAAATATAAACTTAATACAATTTAGAAATAGTTGTACACTTCATGTTTCCAGTTTTCTCCTGGTAGCTTGCAGTCTTAAAAAGCTTGTAATTGTCTCTAACTACTAATTATAATACACGTACATACATTATATATATATACATATACATACAGTAATAATACTTAAATATTCCTTTTTTTGAATAATTCAATTCACGTGGACTCTGAATATGCAGTCACCTGCATCTACGTACATACAGCTGGTTAAGCGTTGAAATTGTAATTATTTCATACAATATTTACTTACATATATATATATATATATATAGAGAGAGAGATATATATATATATATATATACACACACCCACTCAACTAATTAGTTGTTAGCGTTATAATAATAATAATAATACGGACACATTTATAACGTCTTAATCTGTTTGTGGTGAATATTGACTCAGCCTTCCCTTTTTTTTTGACTTTCTTCTTTTCAACACCTTCCTGTCCCTTGCTCTCTCCCTTTTCTGAACGCAGTCTTGGCGTGTGGTGCCTGCGTCATCATGATGTGTGCCTTACCTCACTCTCAATAGATTCGTTCACCACAACATTGCTTAATCACACGAATGTATTGTCTTAATAACACTCTTCCTATGTACATATATATATATATATACACAAACACATACAAACTCCGAAATTATAGTTATCAAAGTTTGAATCAAATGTGTGGGTTTTTTCAGTTATTAAAATTGAATGAATATATGAATTTCACTTATTTGATTATATTCATTTTTTTATACATTTAAGTAATAAGATTATATTTTTAATCATAATATATAAATTGATCAAAAATTACATTCTCATAAAAAAATAATAAAAGTATTAATCATCTTATATTAAAATAATTATTTAGTTAATAAATAATTAATTTATTTTTAATTTGGTTTAATAAATAACATCAAATATTATTATTAATCGAACCCATAAAACCTTGTAACCAGTGACGAATTAAGTAAATATCAATTAATTGAAATGATAAGATTTTACTAATTATTTTTTGATTAAGCGATGAATACATCTATCCATTTGTACGAGTAAATGAGTTTGAGTCGTTTGTTGAATGTGTTCGGTTTGTCATCATTAGCAGGATATGTTATGCATATCTTATTTAGAAAGTTATACTATTATTTATGTATAAATGACAGTTGATCAATGAAATATCTAAATTTTTATTTATAATATAATAAAATTTAATTAGTGTTATAATTTTTTATTTCGAAAAAGCTTAAGTATTTAACGGAATATTTGTAGTTCATGTTTGTTGGTATTAAATATTTTTGCAATAAACTTTAAATAATTTAAAATTTATTTAAAATTTTCATTATTTTATGTGCATGTTTTTTAAACAATTGATCTAGTAAATGATTTGATTATTTAATAACTATGATAAACATGTTCCATTCAAAATTTAGCTTTGACTTATAAATTGAAATTTTTGAAAATTTAATTTATTTAAACTTAGACCTTGAACATTTTTGTTTTGAATATTTAAATCAATAATGTACAAATAAAATATGCTCTTGAAAAGTTATTTAAATTTATTAGACAAAAATATTATTCATTCATTAATATAAGTTTTTCTCTTTGATTAGAGTTATGTTTGAAATAACTTCAAAAATATTGTGTAACTTATAAATTTATATTTAATTTAATCAGAAACATATGTTGCTCGTATTAAAAAACGAAAAAATATATATTTTTATGTGAAACCGAAATTATATTGACTGTAAATTGCATGAAATTTTTAAATACAAGGTTTTAATTTAACATGAAATACTATATATTATATAATAGATGATACTTGTACATTATTGCCTGTGGTATCATGACGTATTTGCTGACTAATTAGAATTTTTGATTGAGAATCTTCTAATTAGAATTTTTCATAGAAAGTCCACCGCACCATAAAGCTCGCCTCTCGCGACTTTCGTTCACAATTTACTAATTAATTATACTGGCCCACCAGCCGAACGTTCCAAGCACGTGGGGGAAACTTTTATGCGTTTACTAAACTACCCCTCCTTTAAGTAGTAAAACGGGAGGACATTTTGGTCATTTCAGCAAGTGTTACTTAAAAGAAGTGGGTAGTTTTGTAATTTAATAAAGTCAAACATTCAGTCAAAATTCTCAACTTGAGAAGCCTATATAAATGCTCTCACCTGCGGTTTAGTTTCTCCATCAGCAAGTCTCCAGTTTGCTTTTTTATACTTCCTCACCTTTCATTACAAAACCCAATACATACATACATACATACATATATATATATATATATATTAGTAACCCAATCCTCAGAAGATAAGCTTATTTTGCATTTATAATGATGAAAAGAGGCAGAGAAAGTGAAGAAATGGAGAGTATAGACATGGCAAAACTTTTGATACTCATGTCTCAGAGACTACACTACAAGCCCAAGATAGATCAAAAGCTCAGCGACGTTAATGAGTTTGCATGCAAAACATGCAACCGCAAGTTCTCATCGTTTCAAGCGCTAGGAGGCCACAGGGCAAGCCATAAGCGACCCAAGATATCGATGGGAGACAAACCGATCTCCGACCAAGCCGAGTCTCTAAGCTTAGGACTTGCCACAACTTCTACAAGCCACGTCAAGCGCAAGATCCATGAATGCTCCATTTGCGGCCAAGAGTTTTCCTTGGGACAAGCTCTGGGAGGTCATATGAGGCGACACAGAGCGGCCATCAATGGCGATACTTCAGCCGTTTCGGTGTTTCCTGTTTTGACGGGCGGGCCGGCAGTGTTGAAGAGGTCTAATAGCAGCAAGAGGGTTCATGTTTGGTTGGACTTGAACTTGACACCATTGGAGAATGACTTGGAGTTCATATTTGGGAAAAATATGGCTCCCAAAGTTGATCATAGGTTGATCATTTAATCATATAATGATTCATCTTTTCTCTTTTTCTTTTTGGAATTCTTTCATTTGTTTTGTGTACAAGAATTAATTAGTTATATATATACATACATATATATTCCTTTTCAATCTTTAAATTTTAATTAATATATATCATTTAAATTCTTTTTACTGAATAAATAATGTTATATTTGTTATTAGTTCTTTTTATTTGGTTCACAAAACCGAGAATAACATGTTTCTTAGAATGATGAACATATATGGGACTAGGTCGTAATATACTGCTTCAATATATATATTTAAAATAGTAATATTCTTCAGTTTATTTAAAATATCCAAATTTTTATACTAAAAATAAACAAATATGTTTATGTAAGATGAAGACCGCAAAAAAATTATTATTATAAAATTAGTGAATATATTTTTGTCATATAAAAATTATTATTTTATTCTCTGAATTATTCATCATATTATAGTTATAGTTAGGTCTTAATTTTTTTTATTACAATGTTCTCCTTAAAATTATAATATTATTACGACTCATTATATGCTTATATAACTTTGAAAATTTTGACAGCAAATTTTATTTTTTTGATGCAGTTTGAAAATTATGATAATGATGTAAGAATAATAAAGTATAAAAAAGAAGGGATCTGTAATAACTGTTTTAATTTGTTTAAATTCCTAATCTTATATAAAAATGATGTACTTTTAAGTAAATTTTTTATATTATTCAATTAATATAATAAGAATTCTTCTTTTTTTTTGTAAAAAAAATATTTTTTAAAATAGCCTTGTACATTTAAAGATTAAATTAGAATCAGAAAATTTTAAAACGAAATTGTACTATAAAAAAAAATTGAGAAATTATATTAATAATTTGTATTAATTTATAATTTATTTTATTATGTATTATTATTTCGAAGTGTATATTAATAAAATACTTTTTTTAGACTATGTGGAAGATAAAATTTGAACTTAAATTTTAACTATATAATAAAAATATTATGTTACCTAAGTTAAATACTCTAGAAATATAATGCTTTTAAGTTACTTGTAAACATTAAAAAACCATATAAATCAGTTCAGAAAGACAAAAGCAAACGACAACGTTTGATGAATTACAGGAACCAGTGAAAACGTCGTAGTTTGGACTGACCAAATACAAGTTGCTTTGCCGTAAATCTTTTGGATATCAACTCACTGATCCGGTAAAGATAACCGTACGTGTTTGCTACTGATAAGTTTACGATTAAGCCGTTCGATTAACTTGGATATCCATACCCATAGAATCCAACGGTTGGGAGGAGAGGCACATTTCTGTGCTTCATTTGAATATCCTCTCACGTACTTACACTTTTAATCTGGCCATCTCTTCAAAATTTCCTCTCCAAAAAAAAAATTTCAACGGCCGACCGGTGCTGACGTATCAGAGACGCTTCCTTCCTCATTTCTCTCATCTCCTTGAATCAGATCTCACTCCTCTTTCCTGATCTTGTATTTCTTCCTCTTCAATTCTTCTGTATTTTGTTTTTGAAATTTATTGATTAACTTTTTTAGGTTTCTATTTTTGAGACATATTTTTACTTTTCCTTTTTCGGCTGATTATTTACGTAGAATCATTCGTTGTCTAGGGTTTACTATTATTTTTTTGGTGATCTTTTGATTTTCAATGGCTGCTCCACCTGCAAGAGCTCGAGCCGATTACGATTACCTCATAAAGCTTCTCCTGATCGGCGACAGTGGTATGCTTTTAACATTTCTGTCTCTTTCAAATCTCGTTTTTTTTTTTCTTATACTATGTATTTTTTGTTTGGTTGTTGTCAATTTATCCCGTTTTGTTGAAATAAGATTTGTTTTATGTTTTCATTAATGCATGTTATCTTCGTAGATCTCTTCTCTTTTCTTGTTCTTTTTCTAATTGTTCTCTAGATTCTTTTGGAGTTAGTGCTTCCGACCTGGTTTAGCATTTTGATCTATTATTAACGAGGGAAATTGACATGCAAGATTCTGTTGGAACATATCATTTCAATTTACAATTGTGATTTCTTATAAAAATGTGCTTTCTTGATGTGAGTTTGGGGGAGTTTTAGTTTAGAGGATGTATAAGACTATTATAGAACCAAGCAACGGGTAGAACTGCTACCATTTAGAAGATAGCTTCTCATGAATGTTAGACACTTAACACCTAATGCAGTTTGTGACATTTTGTGATAAGCAAAATGTGCTAGACTTGAGGTTTTTAAGTTCATGGATATTTCACTGAATTGAGAGATTACCGAATGCACCCAGGAAATTCACAGTGGAACTTTGAATCGTTGCATTTATTGTTTTATTTGAATTTATCCTTTCTATTTTTCTACTTACTGTAGTTCGACTTGTTGCCTGGTTTACCTGAATGGTTATTTAATCTGCTACGAGTGTTGGACTTTTTGTTTTTCTTTATGTTGATTCAAAAGATCCTGAAGTTTGTGCGTTTAAAATAGTCATCCTTCCTTTATGATGAGGCGAGTTGCAACCATTTGTTGTTGTAGTACCCTATGGTGTATGAGCTATGGATCATGGTTTATGGTTTGCTTGGGATCAACTGGGTGATGGTTGGTTCGGTTAGGGAAGAGTTGTGGGCTTGGGAGAGTCTGAGGAGTAGGTGTATGTTTGCTGATTTGATTCCACTTACCATTATGTGGATTGTGTGGAAGGAAAGGAATAACAGGACTTTTGACGGGATAGATGATGTGAAGGGGTTTGATGCTCTTAAGAATAGATGGTTTCGGACCCAGGTTTTTTGTTGATGAGTTATCCTCCATTGTTAATGGAGGCCATCAGAAACCTTTTTGTTGCTATGTCTGATCTGTAAATATTTGTAAATGGGTTGCACCCCCTTGGTGCTCATAGTAATATACTTTTAACACTTTTTGTATATGGGTGTACCTACTTGGTACTTTTGTTAATAACACTATCTTCTTTTATCTCAAAAAATATACTTTTAACACTTTTTAATTTTATATGTGTGTACCTACTTGGTACTTTTGTTAATAACACTATCTTCTTTTATTTCAAAAAATATACTTTTAACACTTTTTATATTTTAAAAAATTGTTTTATGGACTTTATCTTTACTTGTTTTAGGTATATTTCTTTCTCCTAATGTTCCATACTTGATAGGTGTGGGTAAGAGTTGCCTTCTTCTGCGATTCTCAGATGGTTCATTTACTACCAGTTTCATTACTACCATTGGGTATGTGGTCTCCATTAGTAGGATGTTGTTTTTCCCTCTTTTCCCATTCACTAACTCTGTCACTTGTTTAAATCTTTTATTGCAGCATTGATTTTAAGATAAGGACCATAGAGCTTGATGGGAAACGAATCAAACTGCAAATTTGGGATACTGCTGGTCAGGAGAGATTTCGAACAATTACAACTGGTTAGTCTTCCATAGGGAAAATCAATGACTTTCTTTTCTCTTCTTCCCCACTTCTTAATCCTTAATCCTTAAACCCATGATTAATTAGAGGATATGAAGTATATTTAGTTCATATTTTCCTCAGCGAAAAAGAAAAGATATGACTAGAAATCTAGGATCTTTTCTTATTTTTGAGAATATTGAAATCAACTGAAAATTTAGTTCAAGTTTTTGAAGAATATGGATGTAGACAAGAAGATATTATTTTGGAACAAATTTTCAATTAAAGATTTTTTTTGTGATAGTTATAATTATTTGTAATTTTAATTTATTTAGCCTACTTAGGTTTTGGCATTATAATTTCCTATTTGGTCGATTTAAAGTACTATAGGAATTAAAATATTTAGAGTTGCTCTTTTATATTTTGCTTATTAGTTGTGGCTAATACCTATAAAAGCTAGTAGCTATCAACAAAGAAGATTAATAGATGATAGTGAATTAGAAATTTCTTTGCTAGGGTTTTATTATTTTTTATCTCTCTGTATTTGTTCTTCGAGTCATTATTCTAACCTTTCTCGTTCGATCTAGTTCTCGTTATACTTCTGCACCTTGATCTCCAATTCCCTCCAGTTTTATCTATTCTTCGGTTTCTTGCCTAAAGTTTCTAGATTTCTATGCTATCCCTATAACAAGCTAGTTTAACCGCTACATCTCTTGTTTCAATTGTCATCAGACTCAACTTTCCTGCACTTTTAAACTGCATAAAGGAACACAAAAAAAAGGAGAATTTCCCACCATGTCCATCCAAGAAAGTTTGTTCTGAAAAAAAGAGAAGCCAAAATATTTTACTATCTTCGATCGTCAATAATCAGCAGGGAGTAGCTACACTGCCATTCCAACTGGAACCAGAGGGCTTTGGCTGACCTCTTTGTTGATTTGCAACTGGTGATTTTGTCGGAGAACGCGAGATGAAGGCCTATGGCCACTACCACAGGTTATATCAACCACATGAAATAGAGCCATCGTAATGAGACAAACTCATGGTAGGAAGAATGACCCTTATTGAAGATGTACGTCCTGCACGTGCGATTATGAGTAGGAATTTTTTCAATGTCCAGTTCACACAGATTGCCAGTCTGATTTGTCTACACTGGTTCAGATCCTTCCTCACTAGTTTTTGATCAGTTCCCTAGGTTTTTCAATATGTTCTATCCTTCGTCACTACTTAGATTTCATGTTACAGTCACTTTCAGACTAAATCTCTGTAAAGGTGGCTACTCAACATGGAGTCCAACAAATTTTTAGTTACAATTCATAAAGAGTATTTGGTTCTCATGAATTCATAAAGAGTATTCAGCTACATCCATAGTATACTCAAAAATTAGGAAGCATAGGTTATGAGGAAAAATCAGGATCAGTTTCCGTACGTAGGAATTTAGGATAAAAACATAGATATCACACTTAGGGTTTCTTAGATATTTTATTAAGAAATTTTAAGTATCACATTTAAAGGTTTGATTGCATTAAACAACTAAAAAATTGGCTCAAATATTTTATTGAAAAGTTGAAGATTATCCCAAAATTAAATTTACAAAGATATTTATCGTGCTTCTTTTTTTTTTTTAAAATAAAAGTATAAGATTTGTATTGATTAATGGTGCCAAGGGGGCACCGTGCGTATACAAAAGATTTACAAATCGGTTAGAGTATCAACAATGAAGCCTATGTCTTCATGGCAATCAATTGTATGCCCCAAGACTGTAGAACCAAAATAGTGAAACCAATCTTCTAGGATGACTCTGAATTTTACTTCAATTCCTTCAAAAGCCCGTTTTTCCTTTCTTTCTAGATGACCCAAAGTATGGTGAGAGGAATGATTCTGAACTTTTTCCTATTGCTGCCAAACCATTCCCAAGTAAAAAGTTCAGAAGAAATATATTCGTTCCTGACCCAAGACTGGCCAATCAGGCCGAGCGCAGTGGACCACAGCATTTGAGTTGTGGGGCAATCAAGGAGAAGATGATTAACAGATTCCAAGCTGTTTTTACAAAGGAAACATCTATTGACAGTGATGATGCCCCTCTTCATTAAGTTATCCAAGGTGAGGATGCAGCCTTTTGCTGCTTCCCAGGCGAAGAAAGCAATTCTAGGGGATGCACCCACCCTCCAAATGATGTTAGAGGGAAATGGGCGGGTCCAGATGTGTAGATGCCCTCAAGAAAGTTGTAGAAAGATCTTATTGTGAACTTACCGATCTTGGAAGAATTCCACCACAACGTGTCCTCTTGCTCGGTAAGATGGATAGAGTTTAAAGTTTGCAAGAGTCTCTCATATTCCTCTATCTCCCAATCGTGTAAATTTCTTGTAACCATGATGTTCCAGTGGCCGGGGAGGTTAGGCTCGGTGGCATCTTTGACAAGCATTTTTTTGTCCTGTGAGATATCATGTATGAGATGGAATCTGGCTGAGAGTGTCTGAGCCAAGCCAGTTGTCAGACCAAAAATGCACTTTGAGACCGTTGCCAACTCGCCACTTAGAGTTCTCCAGGATGGGGTTATTCAGCTGCCAAATGGCTTTCCATAGACTGAAACCATATTTCCCATTTCTGATCCCTTGAAAGTCCCCGTTGATGAACCATTTGCTCACAATGATAGATCCCCATAAACTGTTGCATTCATTTCAAAATTTCCAAATCCATTTACCCAGCAAGGCTTTGTTGAGTGGTGTGAGTGATCTCAAGCCCAAATCACTGACTTTGATCGGTCTTTTGATTTCATTCCAGTTAACAAGGTGCATTTTCTCATTTGAGTCATCATCCCCTCATAAGAAATTGTGTTGGATGGATTCTAACTTGTTGGCAATGCTGGAAGGGATGTTGAGAACAGATAAGTAATAGATTAGGAGGTTGGAGAGAGTGCTCTTAATGAGGGTTGGCCTACCTTCCTTAGATAGATGTCTTCTTCTCCAATTTGAGAGCCTGTTTTGGAACATATCAATGATGGAGTCCCAACATTTTTTGTCTTTGTATTTGGCCCCCAGTGGGATCCCGAGATAAGTGATGGGGAGTTGTGTAAGCTTGCAGCCTAGAGCATTTACAAGGGTATTCCTGACCGAATCCCCCAGCACCACGAGTTCAGATTTGCTTAGGTTTATCTTAAGACCTGAGACAGCTTGGAAGCAAAGTAATAGGCATCTGACCTTTTCTGTCGTGCTTCTTAACTAACTTTTTCTAAATAATACTAATATTAATAAAATTGGAAAATAATACTACTATACAAATAGGAAAACCAAATACTAAAATAAATAAAATTCTGAAGTTTCTATGTAATTATAGGCTTCTAAATAGTATAGAGTTTTATATTTGACACAACTATGATTTTTAATCTGTTTATGAAATCTAGGGTTAACCTATTTTGTATTTCTCTCCCTTTGTTGGAAAAGAATTTGTCCTTGAGTTTTTTTTTTTTTTTGAGATAAAAAACAATGTGTATTATCTATAAGGCACCAAAGGGGTGCCACCCATGTACAAAGTATTTACAGCTTAGTTAGAATATCAATAATCTTCCCAAATCATCCCACTCAGAGAGATCATTACCCAGCATTAGAGCCCAAAAGTATGAATCCACCTATATTTAATTCTGGACAAATCCTCTACATATCTATTAAAACTCTGTTGTTCCTATCTTTTCACACCACTCAAAAAATGGTTAAAGGTATAAGCTTTACAATTTTTTATTTCTTACAAATCCCTCCCCAAGTCCTAAGTCCATCCCTAACCGTTTCCGCAATCTCCCAATTGATAACCAAAAGACCATAAATCCATAGTCCAAATATTATAAGCCACTGGACACCAAAGAAGGATGTGGTTACAAGATTCTGCTGCCTTCATGCACATGTAGCAAGCATTAGTCATAATTTTACCCCGTCCACAAGTTCTGAAGTACTGAATGATTTAAAATATTGATGTATGTGGCTACTTCAAGAAAATTTAACAAATTCTGTGATCGGTCATTCTCTTCAGTAGTAAAACATAATGTGAACACATAATTGTTTAGAATTGTGAAATCCTGTTGGTAAGTTGAAATCCTCATAGTGATAAATTTGCACTTCAATTTCATTCTTAAGTGGAACATCAACAGATCCAATTATTGGTACATGTTCCTCCTTGCATTGGCCTTCCATAGAGTGTCTTTAGGGAAAGATCTTGGGCGATGGGGACTCAGTAGTGATTCTTTCTGCTCCTCCACTTTAGGTCTGTGGATATGCACCTAACTGCAGATGATGGGAGGTATTTACTTATCTGCTAAGAATTACATCATCATCCTCTCACGGAATATGTAGCCAACATGTTTTCCTTGCATCTCATCCTTTATTAATCTATGGGCATTGGTAACCCATATGTTCACTCTGTCTGCAACTTGAAAAATGATTTCATCACCTTTATAAGGAGTCTTGGAGATAGATGTTGATTCATTCTTCAACTCACCTTTTGATTCAGAGGTGTCTTAAGGAGTAGATTCCGTAACCAGAAACTCAATATTTCTTGGAATTGGATATTTAAAATGTTGAGCAACATCAAATCAATTTTTTAGATAATTTTATTTTGCCTCATTGGTTTTGTGATCCTAAAGAACCTATAATTTTGGTTAACTTTCAATTTTTCTATGGATATTATCAAGAGTCTTGCCTTTTTGAAGATTTTTTTTTCTTTTTCTTTTTGAAATAAAAAGTATAAAGTATCATTAACTACAAGCACCAAGGGGGTGCAAACCCATGTATAAAAACATTTACAAATCAATCATGCTATTTATCAAATCACCAAGATCTTCCATGGAACGCAAAGATTGACACATTACAAAAAATCCTAGGGTTTGAATGGAATGAGCCCCAGTTGTTTTTTCTTACTGGTGATGCCATTCTATGTCTAAATTTCATCCCTTACACTACCAGTTATAATCCAACTGTATCCCAAGATCCCATAAGCCATTGTCCATAAACTGTACGCTATGGAGCGTTGAAGTAGAATATGGTTGCATGTCTCTCCCACTCTCTTACGTTAGCAGCACCAGTTAACAATGATCTTTCCTCTTGTCATCAACTTATCAATGATCAGAATACATCTTCAATCTGCTTCCCACGCAAAGAAACAACCCTGGGAGGTGCATTTCGCCTTTTGAAATTTGCCACTTCAATCTGCTTCCCACGCAAAGAAACAACCCTGGGAGGTGCATTTCGCCTTTTGAAATTTGCCTGGGTGGGTAACTGTTCTTGTGGGCTCGTTCTTGGTCAAATGTCTATAAAAGGAACCAACTGTGAAGTTCCCTGTTGAGCTAAGGAACCAAATCTATTGATCATCATTTTTTTCGAGAGATATCGAACACAATGAGTGCAAGAGTGATTCGTATTCATTAATTTCCTATTCATTGAGGTTCATCATGACCTCTGCGTGACAATCTGCTTCTCATTCTCTATCTCTATAAGTCTCTTTAACTGATATATTCTTGTATCTTGCGATGAAAAAAATCTGCGGGAATTTGTCTTTCAGGACTCCCCCCTTTAGCCCAAACAGCCTTTTTGAAGATTTTGAACTGCATGTCTGAGCTTTTCTTTTCTTGATCCTTTGTCTCTTCAGAAATCAAGTTCGAATTTTCACCAAATGGGAAAGAATGATGAAGAACAATAAGATATTATTTTGGAATAAATTTTCAAACATATCCTATCTTTGCCTCTCCAATCACATTTTCAGTTGGGGGTTTGGGTCTCTTTCTTTCACAATCAATAGATTATGTTGTCCCAACGCTAAATCTTTTTCCTTCTTCATGCTCTAGTTTCCCATTGCTTGTAGTTGAATAATTTTTAAGTCTGTTCGCCCTTTTTAAAGATGTTTAGGACATCTTTTCAAGATGCTATTGGTGATTTTATCTTCTTAAAAGAATCTTTCCTTCTGAACTGAGTCTATACGAGTAATTTTGATTGATGAATTTTTCTCCTTTAATGAATTGTTGCCTCATAGTAAGTTAAACTGAACCTTATTCAAGTTTTTTACTCTTTCTGCAGCTTACTACCGTGGAGCGATGGGTATTTTGCTTGTATATGATGTCACTGATGAGTCGTCTTTCAACAGTAATTTCTTCCCTTTTGTTTTTTGAAGTACAAAGTGTCACATCTAATCATCTGATGTTTTTTGTTGGATATATAAAAATATTCTTTTTAGTTTGGAAATTTTTGGTATTCTTTCTTATTCTTTTTCAGCAATTTTAAGGCTGTTCCTAATTGTGAAAATTTGAGTCTTTTATATATATATATATATATTCCAAGAAAACACAAATATAATAGAAAAAACTGCTGAGTTGCTGCAATGTAAAAACTGAATTTTGCTTCCTAGAAAAAGGGAAAACTTAATTTTATGAAACAAATGTTTCTCCACAGCATCAAATATAAAAAGGAAAATTGTCTCCTGCTTTTAACTATAATACTATTTTCCCATAAATAAAAAATTGCAGAAACATGAGATTTTAAATCACCATTTTACAAGGAATCGATCTCTTTACATCCTTTCTCCTAAATATTCTCCTGTACTTTCTACCTTTATTCTGTTTTTTTTTTCTTGCTATTTTTACTAATAGCGGCACATTAATATGAGGTTGTTATATCAGTTAATGAAACGAAATTTATAAGCATAAGTAGTTAAGACAATAACTGTTGAAAAGGCTATGTTTGGAATAAATTCAAAAATTGTGGAACTCATTTGTAAATATATACATAGTTCAAGTATGAGATGTTGTAAATCTAGTAAGATGACAAAAATGAACTCATATGAAATCCTACATGGAATTAAAATAATGTATTACAAACTCCACCAAAGTTGATGGAATTTGGTATGTATTGTTCTAATTCTATGTGGAATTTATGGGGTGTTGTTCTTTTGTGCAGTTTAGACAAGATTTTCATTGTTTTCTAGTTGAACTAAATGTGAATTTGTCAATAAATTATGCAAAATTCATAGATTTATTCCAAACATGGCCTGATTTCTAATTTCTGATTTATCTTAAAAAAAGGCCTAATTTCTGATATCATGAAAAATAATAATGAGACTTACCTCATACAATTGGTGTCAGTTCTTTTTTTGGGTTGTTTTTGTTACTAGTAGGGAAAACATGCTGCTTTAAACATTCCATCTAGTTTTCTATTTTAAAAATAAAGCAACTTTCAATTCTAGCAACTGAACACATGTTTATTATGTCTTCCAAGAACAGAGAAGAGAAAGCATTTTCTCAAACTGAATGCTGCCAAATATTTTCTTTTTACTTGGATGAAGTGCCATTATTTTCTTGCAGTATTCTTTACATGGTATACTGATTTCTCCTATATTTAGATATTAGGAATTGGATTCGTAACATTGAACAGCATGCTTCTGACAATGTCAACAAGATTCTGGTGGGAAACAAGGCTGATATGGATGAAAGCAAAAGGGTCTGTGCTCTCTCTCGATTATCCTCCCTCTTCTCCCTGTAAGTTTGGTTCTTAACGTGTCAGGTAACTCCTTTTCCAGGCTGTTCCTACCTCAAGGGGCCAGGCTCTTGCTGATGAATACGGGATCAAATTCTTTGAGACTGTATGTGATTCTTGTTCTGTGCATTGAAGTTACTTTTGGAAAAGAAGGGATAAATTACATATTAATACCCCACTATGCTTGGTGTCTCAGATTAAAATCCATAATTTTAAGTCAGTCAACTTAAGATTTGCACTTTTAAATGTATGAAATTAGCATTAACGAGTCACTTATTTTGAACAAATTATTCTGAAAATTGACTTTCAGATACTTCATACATGTGTTATATGTTGATTAAATTACTGTTTATAAGAAGTTAGTAAATTAATTAAATTATTTTAGCTAGATGTATGAAGTCAATTAATATTCAGTAACTTTCAGGTCTTAACCTTGAGGTATTTAAAAACTGCAAATCTTAAAAGGATAAGTTCAAAACTATAGGTTCTACTTTGAGATGCCGATGAAAATATATAATACTTTACAGAGTTTTTAAAAAACGATTATTATGTGTTTGATAAAGCAAATGTGGATTACAGAGTGCAAAGACAAACTTGAATGTGGAGGAAGTGTTCTTTTCAATTGCTAGGGATATCAAGCAAAGACTTGCAGATACTGACGCCAGAGCTGAGGTATTAATTGTTTTTACTTTGATGTCAAACATAACCAGTGTCCTTGCCATTTATTTTATGTATATATGGATTTGGACTCATAACTATTTGAGATGCCATGTCCATAACAATGTGATTGATTATACTAAAATCCTGCGAATATAACTTTATATATGATAATGGTTACTCTGTTTACCTTGGTTTGATAAGTACGCCTAGTATTTAACTCTTCTTTTTGGGGAGTTGTAGATTCTGTTTGATACATTAGAATATTTTTTAAAAGATTTTTGTTTTCTAAATTTATTTGTTTATGCATGTACCCTACTTATGAAAGTACATTTCACATTTTAGAATTTAATACTAAGAACAATACTTACAATGTTCTGATTCATGGTTCTCTTTGTATTATTAATTAATTTGTATGGCTTTAGAAATAAAATATATACAAAGTTTAAAATTAAACTTAAAAAATAGTTGTCTTAAATTTGAAACTTTTTTGAGGGAATAAAGGATGCATTTTGTTTGAATCTGTGCAGCCCCAGACGATCAAAATTAACCAGCCGGACCAAGGGGCTGGGGCTGCTCAAGCTGCTCAAAAATCAGCATGCTGCGGTTCTTAAAGGAGCCAGGTGTTTTGAAGATGGGATGGAAGGGTATGTCTCAAGGCAACCAGAAACTGATTTTTTTACGACTTATATCGTTGGCGTTTGTATTCTCCTATCATTATTTTACACTTTTTGGTATGAAAGATTTTCGTATTTTGTGAAATCAATTATATTAGAATATTTTTCCTGAAAAATTTGTGAATTCAATTATGAGTTAGATTATTATTGTTGATGAAAATTTATTTAGTTTCTCCATCTTCCACTTAATTTATTATCATTTGATTTGTTCGAATCTGGTAAAGTTGCCCATCCACTTTTGGCTGCCCCCACCTCTTCTTCTGTTGAGTTCATTTTATAGTGGGGGAATACGTTTGAGAATGATTTAGACATTGAAATTTCATCTCTTGTAATGGATAAATACTTTTTTTTTTTTTTCCCCCCCTCTCTCACTCTCTCTATCTCTCAAAAAAAAAAAAAGAAAAAAGAAAAAGTAATGGATAAATACTCTTATGATCTGAAAATCCATTAGTCCTCTCTCTCTCTCTCTCTCTCTCTCTCTGTTCATCCACTACTTGATTGTATTTTTGCGGAATGTGTGCTGTGATACAAAATGTATAAAGCTATGTATATATGGTTGTAGAATATTAATTTCTTATCTTAGCTTGTTTTGTTGTTTCCATGAGAAAATCCGTTTCCCCAAACAGTTCCAACACTCGTAAAAAGATGCAGTTTTTCTGATGAAGTCATGGAGCACATCACCCAGGCAATGTTTAGATGCCTCAGCTAATATCACCATAAAATAATCTGTTTAAAGTTCATTAGCAATGTAAAACTAGTGAAAGAAGTGCAATTGTAATAAAAGTTTTATGCAAGTGTTTTCTTTTTTGTAGAAAGAAACTGGATTAGGTTGTTGAAAGGGAGAACCAGATGGAATTGTATGCTAAAATTAGTTAATTAGAGAACAGAGACGTGTTCTAGATGGAAGTGTATTTACAACAACAGGGGAATCAAATTAGGCCGAGGTGCTGTATATATATAATATATTTGTGTATGTGTTTGAGTGTGCATAGATATAACATACATATATATATATATATATATGTGAAAGAAATAAGAGAGAGACTTTATTTTTATTGCCCATATCGTTGTTTTTGGTTTGTTAGGTTTAAAAGCAGAAAGCGTTGGCAAGTGGCAGATGCAAAATAATGGTGGATGGAATATTTTGGTATTAATTTTAGTATGATTCAGTGTGCCAAGCAAGAATTTGAACTTGTGATTTTATGCTTCCATCGAATAATTTGCCTGACACGACGACCTGTGCGTATATGTATAATAGATAACATGTTGTTATATATGATGATATTCGTGATTGATGATTACCCTTCTCCTACAAATGTTTGTATTATGTACGTATAGTGTGTATGTATGTATGTATGTAGTAATTATTTTATCCCCAAAGTAGATTCAAGTTTTCCTGTAATACATCACATGTTGATTTGCAAATAGGAAAAAGAAATCATGATGCTCCATGATTTTAACTAGGATGCCCTTTTCAACATAAAAGTATATGATATCTTCATAATTTCTTTTTCAACTTTTATTTTTTAATAATTAATTAACATATGCACATTGGTAATAAAATAAATAATAATTTTATAATCTTTACATAATATCTTTTTTGTTTTAAGTTTCTTGAAAATAAAAAATTTAGAATGCATTTAAATTAATAATAATTTTTTAATTTTTTAACCCAAAAAAATATATATATATATATAATTGAACCAACCAACATTCTAATGGAGAGAAATAGAAGTAGCAACCCATTTAGCTAATTATGAATGAATGATTCGTCTTCCATTTTTCTTTCTCTGTGTGTAGTTATTTCCATTAAAGAAAGCACTAGTAAGACATAAGTGTCCATGTTGACTCAAAACCCACATTCTCAAAAGTATTCTCTAATGCTTGCCATTGTTTCATGCATAATATTATATATATATATATATATAAAGTATACGAACAAACAAAGAAACAAATTTAGTAAAGTGTGTAAATTATGCCATTCAAAAATTTTACTTTTGAAAAAAAAAAAAAATTAGCCCCATTGTTGATGCTTTTGACCATGGAAGACAACTCCTGAAGGACCAAACAAAAATCAATGTCAGGAAAAAGTTTTGCCATACCCTTTAATAATGCAAAATTGAAAGATATACACAAACTCTCCTCCCTACGCAATATAAAATAACCACCCATATATATATATATATATTTATTTATTATATATGAGGACTGGAAGGAAGTCTAGAAAGATTACCACCTTAATCATACAGTTTTAATTTTTGATTGAATAAGACGAAGCACTAACAGGGGAATCAACTTTCCAGTGCTCAAAAAATGTGCAAATGATAGAGCAACTTTTTTTTAAGACAATCACTTAAAAGCAAATCCACCGAGCCAGTGACATTCAATTGTAAACAGATTGGTTTGTTGGATAATACATATATATATACACATGTATAAGTATTCTACAACAAAACCCACTCAGATCATCTAAAATACTTCATTTTATATCAGAATATCTTTTTGTGACGTATATAGTGAACCTTTTTCAATCATTCTTCTATATAAACTCAATCTTTCCCTCTTATAACTCTCATTGTCTCACCTCTTAACAAGAAAATCAGAACAGAGGGAAGGCCAAAAGACAATATACAAATATATACATACATATATATACATATATATATCTAAGAGATGGGTTGGTTAGACACAGCAAGGCCATTCATCGCTGTGATCTTCCTGCAGGTTGGGCTTGCAGGGATGGATATTCTATCCAAAGCTGCACTCAACCAAGGAATGAGCAACTATGTATTAGTCGTCTATCGTCATGTTATTGCCACAGTTGTCATAGCACCTTTTGCATTCTTCGTAGACAAGTACGTATATACGTACATATTTCTCTCTCTTTTGTTACAGAAATTTGTGGAGGAGAAGTAAGAGGACTGATTAGACTGGTTGACTTTCATGTTAAACAGGAAAATACGGCCGAAGATGACCTTGTCAATCTTTATCAAGATATTGGCACTGGGCTTACTAGAGTAATTTTCTTGATTTTATAAAAATAATTTCTTTTTGTTTACAGATTATACAATATAAATGTTGATTCTATATATATTTATTGGGTGACAATTTTGCAGGCCAGTAATTGACCAGAACCTGTATTATTTGGGTATGAAATGCACCACAGCAACCTTTGCATCCGCTATGTACAATATTCTTCCCGCCACTACATTCATACTCGCCTTCTTCTGCAAGTAATTACCCGCACTCCGAGAAATATGATACAGTAAACTCATTTTAATTTTAGTTTCGTATGAGTAAACTATAAGGGATACACTCAGCAAAAATTCAACGCAATTTTAATTTTACTGGAATTGGATTGTGTCCTGAAATAGACATATCTATATATGTGTGTGTGTGCGTGTGTGTGTGTGTGTGGCACAAAGAATTTCTGTTGATTGCGTATATACTTAAGTACACATGATATATATTTGTCGGCAGACTTGAGAAAGTGAATCTGAGGTGCGTGAGGAGCATAGCTAAAGTGATAGGTACTGGAGCCACAGTAGCAGGAGCCATGATTATGACACTCGTAAATGGTCCAGTTATTGAGTTATTTTGGACTAAAGAAAGTGGTAAACATAAAAAAGCAACAGGCGATCTTGATCTTCAAGATTTAATTAAGGGCGCTGTAATGATCACCATTGGCTGCCTCTGCTATTCTTGTTTCGTGGTTCTGCAAGTAAGCTAAGCTTCTTAAATCACTGTTGATTAGTTTTTTTGATGCTTTTTAAGTCTGTATAGCCTTTAGTCTTAACTGGGTTTAAGCTCGAATAGTGTTTAGATCAGTAGACTTCAAAAACTATGAAACCATACAAATTTTTGGTCAAATTATGAACTTTAACCTAAACTTGATATCAACATATGCTTTCCTGCGCATTTGCTCATTGAAAAAAGAAGAAATCAATCCAAACATCGTCTTCATCGGATTGAAATATGCAGGCAATTACACTGAGAACATACCCGGCGGAGCTGTCTCTTACGGCCTGGATATGCCTGATGGGTACAATTGAAGGTGCTGTAGTAGCTCTTGTGATGGAAAGAGGAAATTTTGTTGCCTGGTCCATCGGCTGGGATACTAAACTACTCACGGCGGCATACAGTGTAATAATTTACATAAAAATCAGTAATAACTTATATATATATGATTAAATTAAATTTAGTATATTAATAAATGAATGATGAAATTAAAGTTTTTATCATATTCGTTTATTTATTTCTATTTCTATTATTTACGTAGGGTATTATTTGCTCCGGACTCACGTACTATATTCAAGGAATTGTAATGAAATACCGAGGCCCTGTCTTCGTAACAGCTTTTAATCCGCTCTGCATGGTTATCGTAGCTATCATGTCATCCTTCATATTTGCCGAACAAATGTTCCTTGGAAGGTACATATCTATGAACATATTACATATAATTAAATCCCATGTGTTTGCGTACGTATTGATGGAATACTCTCCTTTACAGGGTTATGGGAGCAGTGGTTGTAGTTGCAGGTTTATACCTGGTTGTCTGGGGTAAGAGCAAGGATTATTATGACTCTCCATCCACATTAATCCAAGATCAAGATCAACATGGAAAAGAGATAATGATCGCCACAAATGAAGAATTAGGCGGTGATAGGGTTTAATCTAAAATTATTAATATCAGACTATATATTTTAATATGAATTACATATTTTTTTTTTTTAATCTTAATGTATCATGATTTATTTTCTCATACTACTGAATTAAAATTTTGTATGTCAAAGAGTTTCTCTAAAATATTTAATTCAATATTATTTTTATTTTTTGTCTTAATCGTATAAAATTTTCCATTAATATCACATTAACACACACTTGTGTGTCAAAATATCAAGAAAATACTTAACAAGTAATAAAATAACATTTGTTTATGCCTAAAATTAAGGAAAATATCATAACTATAACGATGTTTGAAATCTCTTAATCACCATGATTATACCTAAAATCTCCCTCAAGTTGGATTAGGAGGATCTCAATGCCCAACTTGCCGCTTACCTAAAGCCTCCTTCCTGAAGATGTCTGCAACATTTATATATATATGTATATGTATTCTACAAAAAGACCCACTCAAGTCATCTAAATTTCTTCATTTTATATCAGAATATATTTAGGTAACATATATAGCGAACCTTTTTCCACCTTTCTTCCATGGAAACTCAATCTTTCCATCTTATAACTCTCATTATCTCACCTTTTAACAAGAAGATCAGGAGAGAAGGAAGGCCATAAAATAATATACATATATATGGATTGAATTGCGTGAAACTTTCCCGGGAAGACAAATAGCCAGATTCGTATCAGCTTCCACTTCTCCTTGGTACTCGCATCGAGCGTTCTTTGGACGTCAATCAATCCAGAATTCCAAAGTACCTATAACTAGCTTAAGTGAAAGATCAATCCTTCCTTGTGATTAGGGATAGAATGTCTATCCCCTGTCTAAAATATACTCTCCATTCTAAAATATCTGTGATTAGGGATAGTGCTCTCCATTCTGCAAACCCTTTTCTTGCCTTTTCGAGGTGGGCTTAGACTGACCCTTTTCTCGACCAGCAAAGAACGTTTTCTTTTCTCGCTTGATCTGCAACCCGGCTACTTGCTTCACCGGCGACTCTAGGTTTGCCAACAAGCTTTCTGGGTTCAAGAAAGGATAGCAGCTCTTTCACTTGGTGAATTCATTGAAGTATTTTGAAAATATACCTGTATCTATAATCTTATTTATTTTATAAAGCCTTTCATTCGCCATGAGCTGGACGAGAGAGAAGACAGTCTCATGTCCGGTACTGCAGTCGAGATGAGATTGAGAAAGTATCATCAACTAGAGGCCTAGAAGAAGGAGATCCCGTAAACAAGATAGAGGAAGAATGTTTGGACTATCTTCTCGAGGCCCTTAAGGGAAGAGAAGGTCTAACTCGTATGGTTGGTTGATATATGTACCCTAAGTGCTAATGGAGGTTGGGCGAAGGATAATGAGCTGCGTACCCAAACTCACAGCGAAAGGGTACCCAAAACACGGCGTTTCATTAAATGTGCAGAGACGAGGTCTGCAAAAATTTTCATTTGACGGCTTGTTAGCAAACCCTGATAGTGTTTTTCTCTCCCGGGTGGTTCGGCATTCTCTCTCTCTCTCTCTCCAAAAAATCTGATCTATTTTCTCCCTTTTCTTCCTATTTTTGTCGATAGGGCTTAGTAAATAGTAAGATTATACCGTGACCGGTTCTTTTTACAGATGGGTTGCGCAGAGAGAGCAAAGCCCTTTTTGGCTGTGATTTTCTTGCAACTTAGGCTTGCAGGGATGGACATTTTAACGAAGGCTGCAGTCAACCTGGGGAAGATCAAGTGATCTGTTGCCTCTTCATGCTTTACCACTTTCTTTAGTCCAAAATAACTGGACCATTTAAGAGTGTCACGATCATGGCTTCTGCGAACTGTGGCTCCAGTCCCTACTATCTTAGCTATGCTTCTCACACGTCTCAGATGGGCTCCACATCATTTATTTATTTCATTTGAATGCATTAAATTTTATACCCTTTTCTTTTTTAGAAAAAAAACAAAAAACAAAATCAGTCTAATCTCTACATCTGATTGATATATAAAAAATTAGTAATGGTTTACATATTTATACACATATGATTAAATTAAATTTACTGATAATCATATCTTTAATTCTATGTATTTATGCATATATGGATCAAAAATTGATCCATACCCTCCCTGCAACATACAAAAATCCACCAAAATTTCATTGAGTGATTCCAGAAGATAACCATACCATATATACTTGCAGACTATGAAATTTGCTGGTAAGAAAAGATTGAGAGTCACATATGCATTATTCAGTGCCGTGTAACGAACATACACACAAAAAATAGTTAATACTATATGCCAAGTTAAGAGGTGTAACCCCCCCAACATAGGTCAAAAGAACATCCCCAACAACTAATAAATACATGATTAGATGCTACAAATCGGTGGGTTTGGTTTCCCAGTGTATAACCCTTTCTGCAAGAACAAATATTTTCAAAATCATAACAGACTAAAAAATAATAGAACTTCCAATATGTTTTGTTACATTAAAGGAGAATCTAAAGCCATTGGGAAAAGGAAATCAAGTAGATGGTAGAGAGAGGATAAAAAAACATTCCCAAGAAAAAAAATCTGAAACCCATCCAAAATTTCTTGGTGATTCTGAATTCCATAGGACTACCTCTCTCAACAATTAGTTCCACGTGGTGATACCGAATTACAAAAATCTTTTATGAAATAAAGAAACAAAAGAAACATCCAACAAAGATTCTCTGCTGCCATGATCAAAGCAACTTCTAGTAACAATGCATCATATGTACAATGAAGATTGAAAACAGAGAGGATGAGAGTGCTAAAAAGAATACAGACATTTTCCTTCTAAAAGAAAACAGATTTCAAATTTCAACCTTTTTCCCTCAAAAATGTTATGAACCAAGAGGTTACATGTAATAAAAGGATCAAAATGCTTCTATTCTGTGTGTAAAGTTGATCTCCTACATTCACTTCATTATCCCTTGATGTCAAACAGGAAGAGATTCAAACCCTGAAGTTAGTTGCACCCACTATGATGACAGTGTTTTGCTAAAAAGCCATGTATGTGCAAAACAAAGACGATTGCATCTCAAAATTTCAACAAGGGTAGTTTATTGCAATTGTTTTCCTTCATCGTTCCCATATATACGCTGAAGCTCACGAGTTGCAGCTAGAAAAGACTCTGGTTAATAGAGGGGGAAAAAGGGGCAAGTTAGAAGGAAGTACAGAGCACCCAGAATATGATCTGTAAAAAACTGTTCTATTCAGAACTCCAGATATAGATGCTGAAGCATTTGGACATTATAATTTCAACAGTAAGACAATTAAACCTGGTACATTAGCACACCTTTCCAAAGGCGGAAGGACTTCTGATTGATAGGTGAACCAGTTATTGTTTGAATAATTTCAAACAACATATTCTGAGGTGTGCTTCGGAGCTCTTGGACAATCCCATAAATGGTCTTCCCATTTTCAAAATATATGTGATTGTTGGGGTGTTTTGTTTTGCACCCAGCATGTCGCTCAAATTCATATGCATTAATCACCTACAAAGAAAAGAAACAGCATATCAGTACTGAGAACTTACCCTGTTAAATAAGTTATAATAGAAGAAACTGACCTTAGAAAAATTACATGACTGGCAACCACATTGATATCCAGAACCCTTTATAACACCACAGAGTTCCTTCTAAATATAAGAACCATAGATGTCAGGAAACAGTGTGCAAATCCATAATACAGATCCAGAAGAATAAATGATTACCTCCCGTGACCAAGCAATGTATTTCACAGGAACTCCATCCAGCATGCCAGTTGATAGCAAACTTCTAACATTTGAAGGAAAATTGTTGGGAGGAATCTTCTTAGAGACCTTGGCGTCTTCTTTTTTCTTACAAACAGTGCTGGAAACAGCTATTGGGGCAGTAAGTGCATCAGCATTTGATTTACCCAAAGTTTGCTGGTTGAGTACTTCTGATTTCTGAACAGAAGACTGGCCAGTCAAAAACTCATAATTAGGTAAAAGTCTACTAGAGGAATTTGGACCATCATCTTCATAGCCACCAAATGATATTATTGTGCTCTCACCTTTACTATAAGACTGACCTATTGATAAAGTATTGTTTTCACCCCTGCTATATGTGTGACCTAATGATACAGTACTATCATCTTCCTTACTGTAAACATGACCTACAACCATTGAATTGTCATCAGTCTTGTTGTATGTTTGACCCATAGAGATGATATTGCTGTCATCCTTGCTGAATGCATGGCTTACTGGTAGAGTACTGTTACTTCCTTTATATGTGCCCATTGCTATGGTATCATCCCCTTTGCTATAGGGTTGTCCCATAGATATGAAAATGTTATTCTCCCTATCATAAGACTCACTCATTGTCAAGATGTTGTCATCTCCTTTGTTAAAAGCAAGACCTGTAGACATGGAATTGCTGTCCAACTTGTCATAAGCATCAACTGCTGAAATCGAGTTATTGTCCATCCTGTCAAAGCTATGTCCAATTGGTACAGGCATTAGATTCTCAGAGTCCTTTACCTGGCTCACTTTCACTTTTCTGATTCCCCCAAAATTAAGTCCTGATCTAGGATCTTCCAGTGTGTGAGACATGGATAAACCAAATAAAGAGTCACTTCCAAATGGATCCTCGTTAAGCTTTCTAGCCGCATTAACTTTATCGGTTCCGGCTGACAGAATGTTTCGGTCATCAAAATTAACAGTCCTGGCTGTTTCAGAATCGAATAATCGTTCAGTGAAATTTCCGGATATTGAATTAAAACTAGAAGCATTAGCCCATGGATTTAACATTCCAGAAAATAAATTGTTGCTTGAAGCTTCCACTGCCTGTTTCTTATTGGGGAATAGATCTGCCTCAGGACCATCCATAAACCACTGATGAGAACGTTTGGGCTCAATTTTGGAAGAACTATCGTAAGCCATTTCACCATCATTTAAACAGCCAGAACCTTTAGCTGTCCAGAAGCCCTGATTCTGGAAAGAGTGTTAAACAAATACTTTGAAGTTATCACCGGATATAAAATAAGCGATAATAATTACAGTACTTGATATCCCCTTTACCCCACCAAAACCACATCACTAATCTGCTTTTATCATTATACAACAAAAATGCAACATGAGAATAGGTTTCCATATGATAACCATCATTGTACAGTTAGCTCAAATCATATCTTCAGTCTTCAGCATTCAAGTGCTGCAGATAATTAACACTTCCCTCTCAACATGGAAAGTCATTCAACAGTCAAGTTTTCAATACTTTCATCGAAGAACTATAATAGAAGACCATAGTCTTCACTTCAACAGAACCAGAAAGAGCCAGCGCGCAACACAAACTAGATGTCAACAAATAAATCAAACATAGAAGACTGAAACATAACGAATCTAGTCAACTAAGCCCATGCAAAGCAAGCTCACATTAATAAATCATACACACACTTCAACTTAAGGCTATGTTTAGAAAACATCTCGAAACCTTATGGAGTCCGCTAGTGAATCCATAACTTTCTCGAAAGTCGTATAAACAATTCAAAGCCAGATCATAAAAATGCATTCTAAAATTCCATTGGCTTTGACGGAATTTGAACTCTATTGTTCTAATTCATGCTATGAATTCCACATAAGGTCAAATTTAGAGTAATTTTTCACTATCTCCTAATTCTAATTGGGCTTAGTGTATTGTAAAATAAACAACTTTCTCTACTTCAAATAAGTGCAAAGTTGCAGATGGATTTTACAAAAATTTCTAGACTTGTTACAAATGTAGCATAAAGTAAAAATTCCAGTGAAAAAGTCACTATACTTACCATTTTCTTTGTTATCCTTCAAATTCTGGATCAATTTTTTTTTTTCTCCAGGCTCGTAACTCTGTCAAATTCAGTGAAGTACATAAGCCACTCAAGATGCAATGCTTGTCTCTGAGTATAAGCCTTCGATTGTTCAAATTACAGTTAGCGAAAACATTTAACCGTAGCTAAAGAAACACATCTTGAAAAATCGAACTCGCAACTAAAATTTTATATGCTAAAATGCAAGGAGTATTTAATGAAAATTTTGTTTCGTCCCACTAACTAATCAGACGAATAGTTCAATTATTTCAATCAAATTCAAATTACCATTTTAGCAGAATAGCTAAGAACGAACTTCATGCAACTATAACGATTCGACATTTTCTTTAAGAAAAACATGCAACCTAAGTTACTCAATACCATGTATTCATTCTACTGTTTCTACTAATTCCTTCAATTTTTTCGGCGACCGATCAGGTATGTGATACATGATTAAACACCCGAACCCTAAAATTTTTCGAAGTTCAAATCAACAAAGAGTATACCACTTAAAGTACTCACCAATAATCAGGGGTCGGTTAACTCTTCGGTTTTCCAAGACCAGAAACAACGCCGGAGATTGAACGGACAGCGTCCGTGACAAGATCCAAGATTAGGCTAAATGAAAGTAGAATTTCCTTCGAAGAATTTGAAGAGTTTTTGTTTTTTCATTTTTTTTAAATTTTTTTTCTTTTGACTGTTGCTTATGCCTTAAGTGGGCTGAGGAGATGATAAAAGATGGTGGGCTGCACGATCCAATTCTTGGGGGGTTATCTTAACCGTACACGTGGAGATTCTTGAATATCATCCGAGCCGTTGAAGTTTTTCGCGCTGTGAACCATTAAATCAGAGCATTGTGATTTGTCTGTAAATAAGTACCCTGTTTTTAATCGTGTAAGCGCTTCCACTGGATCATTTACTTAACTCCATAAACTTGCTTACTTGTATTTCTAATTCTTTCAAATATTTTTAAATTAATTTAAATATTTAATTTTAAAACATATAAAAATCATTTTTCAACAATTGAAAATTGTTTAAAATTATTTAACTCCATAGATATTAGACTTTGACCAATTTAATTATTCTTAACTTTTTATTGACAAGAATCCAACCTTTTAAAAATTTAAATTCAAAACCAAATATTTTTTAGTTAAAAACTCAACTTTAAAAACAGTCGACCTTTAAAATTGTGAAAGATAACACTTTACTATCAGTAGCCATAAATTAATAGTTAGAATTACTTGTAATGTTCATAATCAGTCTCCATCTTTATATTCGAGAAAAAAAAATAATAAATACTTTAATGGTAAAACTGACTAACTAAAACATAATTTATCGAATATGAAAAATGAAAAATAACCAAATGTTATGACTACTTAATTTTATGACGAATTAAATAAGAAATTTTTTTTCAAATATGATGTTGCATACTCACATGGAGAATATGACAAAAATCTTCCATATCAAATGTTTTCTTCATGATTAACAACAAGGAGAACTTATTGTCACTTTATTTTACAGTGTTCAACCGTTTTAAATAATAATTTGATGTGTTCAAAGATCACAAATATAAATATTTAGATGATACTTTGTGTCATAAGAAACTTGTAAAATGAAAGGGATTATACCAATTCCTAATAAAGCTAAATAAAAACTTGGGTGATTTGCGTGGAAGGGTCCTCTTCAGATGACTAATTCCCAACTTCTAATTCCCATCCTGTGTGAAATATTTGCTGACGTTAGATATAAAGAAAGTTGTAGGAAATTGATAATGGGAACTCATAGTTCAAAATGTGATTATTGTCACAAACTTGGTCACATATAGGATAAATGTTAGAATTCGCAAGTCATACCTAAAGATTCAAAACTCAATAATTGGATGGAGAGTTGAAGTAGCTCGACCACAAAGTACTGGAACATTTTTCTTTAGTAAAGGACAACTAAAATTGCTCCAACAATTATTTGTGTAGCAAATCAATTTACTTGCCACTTCTATAGCTTCAAGATAAGTGGCTTACAAAAGTAATATCACACGATGCTTTTAATGTCAAAAAGAAAAAAAAATACGTTCTTTGAGTTATTGACTCATGTGCCTCTAATCATATAATTAAAGATTTGTTGTTATTTACTATCTGTAATGCATGTAAAGAAAGGTGGTACGTGCGAAATGCTGATGGAGCACAATTACAAACCACTAGGATTGGGATTGTGAAATTAATAGAAGATTTATTTTACTATATATTATTTTTTTTTAAAATTAAATTATAATTTATTACCATCACCAAATTGACTCAATGTCATAAATAAGTCACTAAATTGTTATTATGGCGATAACAACACAAACATATCAGTAGTAATAATAATAATAGTGATATTATGAATAATAGTAGTGCGTCAACTAAGGGTTACGATGACGATAACAACAACTACATATATGTGGTAATCTTTTTTAACGAGAGATAGAGATAGAAAAAATTAAAAATAATTTTGACCTTGTGTCTTTACTACCGGTTAGAAAAAATTATTTCCTAACACATTAGTGAGATGAAGGGCAAGGGACCTTCTCCCCCACATCCCTCACAGTACATACTCAACTTAGTTTTATTGTGTAAATCTCATAAATCAAAAATAAAAGTCTAAAAGTGTGATTTCTTGTTAATAATATCAATCTTATTTCACAAAAATTGGAAAGTCTTTAATAGGAGTGCTTAAAAATTTATTATGTAATAGAATTGAACTGAACAGCTTAACTGTATCCTAATTTTGACCCAAATTTAAACTAGTACAGATTGGTTTTAGGTTTGGTGGAGAAAAACTAGTCCAAACTCTGTATGCAACTATATACAGTACTATATATATATATATATTCTGAAAGGAGTAATCTATACTTTTTAATGCCAATACTAATATGTTTAATACATTTAATATATAATATTAATGTACATATATTTGAATTCAGGCCAAATCAGAGTGAGTTTGAATTTTTTTTTTTTTTTTTTAATTTTATAACTCAGTCAGAACTAGTGTTTTGTAAACTCAGGCTCCAAACCTGATCAGTTGTCATTCCTAATTTGTAAAACAAAATACATGTTCAGCTGAGGCACAAATGTTAAGAACATCTTTTTCTCATCTTGTATTGATTTACAAAAATATGAAACTTTCTCTTGATTTTTACATAAAATCTGTAAATACCCATTAACAAAATTTATATAAAAAAATTAATACCGACAACAAAAGGAGAAGAGAAACCACTGCTCCATAGAAAGTTGAAGCATCTTCTCTTCTGGTTAAACCCACAATTTCATCTTCTTGCGCTCCACCACTACCATCTCACCATATTAGCATATTTACAGTAACCCATCGATCATTCCGGTGTCAAGAGCAGGCATACGACAACCACAAGCGCACCACAGCCACCACACTGTTTTCATTTAAAACGAAAACCAGTTTCATGACTTTTAGTTATTAACACCATAATCCTCTCTGCACGCTGTCCCTCGGTTAAAAAATTGCAGGGGGACACTTGGGTTTTGGCAGAGGGGAAGTCTATCTTATTTCGTTTTTCCGAGTATATGCTATAGGCCAGCAGCAACTTCACTGCTCCTTGGTTACTTTTCTTCTGTCCTTGCAAGTATGTTTTAGGACACAGCAAGCTTGGTTTGCTGACAGTATGACTTGCAATTTATAATGTTCCATACGCAGATTCTGCATTCTGCAGCTCAAGCAGTCAATAGCAGTTCTTCAGCTTGGACCTTGGACATGCAAGTCGAAGACAAGGCAGCATTTGTTGAAATTCTTGGACAGGATTTGGTGGTGGCTAAATTGACTTGGACTGAGAATAAGGAATAGACTGGCCTGTGGTCTGAGAATCTGGATTCTCCTCTCACATACCACATTTGTTTCAGCCCTTCTCCTTTCCACAGTATTCTATCACACCTGCAATTGAATTCACCCACAAGAAAAAGAGAAAAAAAAAAAAAAAATTTAGAACATAGGGAATGATGCACATGAGTCACCAGATGTTTGATTAAAGTAGAAAATGGCATGCAAGTTGTAATTTAATTTCAATCTGAATCTTAGCAAACACGAAGAAAAAAAAAAGGCGATGGCCGGTTTGTCATATTACATATAGCAATTATTTTACAAGGGGAAGTGAGATCATATCTTCTGATTATTTTAGTTATAATTTAATTAACTTAAACAGAGGAGATAGCAATGTAGAGACTCCATTAGATCATAATTTTCAACAGGATTTTTTAAATTGTTCTCATCACTGTTGATTATGGTTGACAATTTTAACATCATGGAAAAATCCAAAAAGCATGTGGAATTATTAAAAGATTTGAAGCCACAAGTCAACTAAGAAATTAAAGATCTGAAATTATTGTCTCCCTAGCAGCGAGGGAGAATAAGATTTTTTTACTCAATCAATGATGGCTGCGTAATTAGAATTTGTCTTTCACAATATAGATTTAGTAAACAATCCTCTCATTTATTATATATATACATACACATACACGTAATACAAGAACTTAGAAAACCTATCCATAATAAAAACAAATGATAAAGCAAACAAACAGCTTTTTGTCTCTAAATTCAATGAATGCATAACTTAATCCAAATCTACTGTTGATAATCTTTTTTAGTGAATATATATATACATATATATAATTGTTACCAAGTTAGAACGTTACCAGGCAGGAGTACGCCGCTTTTCTTTGGATTTAGAGGTTTGTACGACATAATAATCAGAATCCGTGAGGTATTTGTAAGTTGGTGCAAAATATATCCTCCCTTCTTCCCACCCTTTAAACACCCTACCAGCTCTCTGCTCTATCCTTAACTACACATAATCAAATCATCTAACCATTAGATCTTCCAAACATTTCTTCAAATACTCTTAAGAAAATTTGTTATGAGTGACTCACTTGATCCTTCTCCAGAAGAGCGTCCCAATCATTTCTCATTAACAACTCATGCATGTCACTCCGGCAAGCAGCAAGCCTATAATTTAAATCGCCGAGCCAGACTATCTTGCTGAATTAAACAAGAGAAAAGAAAAGAAACTCATTATGGAACCAAACCACAGTAGGGTTTTTCATCTATAGAGTTAAAGTTGAATGTGAGAATAACTTACTCATGACTCAAAATGGTTTGAGGTCCTGAACGTGTAGATGGGTAAGAAAATCTTGTTCTCTTCAAAATTTCAGAAACATCTGAGTTTCTTCTCAGCTCATCACCTTCTTTCTCACCAGAAGTCAAATGAGTGCAAACAAAACAGAAACTTGTGTGGTGTAAAGTCATGCTGACTGATATAGAACCCTGTAAGTAAAGACATGGGTATAATTAATTATTATCAACTTTTGTAGGGTGAGAAAGCAATTCTAAGTATGGGGTAAGTTAGTCACCTTGTTCCCAAGGTATCCCATAAGGCCACGGCCTACGCAAGAGACTTTTATATTACGGATGTGTTTATATAGGTCATCTCTAACCCAGACACACAAGAAAATGCCCACCATCTGCTTACTGGCTGCAAGGCAGAATCTGTGAGACTCTTGACTTGAATTCATTGTTATCAATCTTTCAAACTCTTGTTTGCCGAGTTCATCCTCTAGGGAAAGCAAGTCAGAGAAGCTGAGTCTGGGTTTTGATAAATCCACTTCCTTGGTATCACTGTTCAAAGCTTGACGAATCAGGGACAGCCATTTGGCAGCTGGACCAATGTCCTCTGCTCCTAGTACATTCCCAGCATTTAGAGGGACAATTTCCTGGAACCTGAATTTATTAAACAAACGCGTTTAATAAAATTTATGATGAAACTATTCTCTCTTTTGAAGGATAATGTATAATTATCAAGTGCTTCAAGAATCAAAACACGTTGTAAATGAAGATTTTACACTGAAGAAAATGACAAGTGGTCCAATCAAAGAAGATTAATGATTAGGAAAACCTTATAGTGACTCTTAACATCTTCGTCGAAGAAGAAATTTGGTGTAAGTAAAGACGTCATTTACGATTAACTTACTTTTTTGAGTAAATTTATAAATTCAATAATTAAGTGATATAAATATCGATAATCATAACAAAATAAAAATAATTTTTAAATAAAAACACTCGTGAAAATATACCATATTAAAATTCATAATTTTTTATAAAGAGTGACATATCAACCATTCATCTAACTAGTAATTAATATTTTATGATGGACTAAATCAAGTATTCGCGGGAGGTGAAAATATAAAATACAATACCCGAGAACGTAAATGTCAGCAGGAGCAGGGGACCTTAGCCAATCCTTTAGGTTCAAACCTTCATGGGGTGACTTTCCTCCTACATTCCATGTTCCCACGAACATCCTACACATTTTAAACAAACAAACCACTTATCAATTCATATTCAACATTTTAAACTTTTCCGAAAATTAAGACTAAATTACTTTTTAGTCCCGTAATAAATCAAGAGAATAATGTTTTAAATTATGTAAATATTTTTTAAATCTTTTTTTGTGATAAATAAAATTAATAACATATTTAATTAAGTGGCTAAACCTTTGCTTATCGATATTAAACTCTCATCTAACTTTAATAAGAATAAAATAATTAAATAAACAATAATATTTAGTCTTGCTGAGCTGATAATGTAAAAAAGAAACTTTAATAATCGACCCACAAAAGCCAAAAATGAAATTGAAGCAGAAGCCATGTTAGAGTTACCTGAGGTTGAGAGAATCGGTGACAGCTTCCACCTCCGGCATTATTGCCGACTGCTTAACCCCATTAGTAGCTTCCATCAACCAACCTTCTATTCAAAAAAATAAATAAATAAACTCAAAATTAAATAAAGCAATTAAATTACTTTTTTTAGAAAATAGTACACACCCATTTATCTGCTATAACAAATTCCTTGCACCAATTCGTGCACAGACCATCTCGTCCGTACACGTGGCACGATTTTAAGCAGTTTGTATAGTTGAACTACGCTAACCCAAAAAAAGACCCAACAGAGAAGATCTCTTCTTTTGTTTGAAAGTCCAATCATAGCCGTCGATCTAACGGCCTCCGTGTGGGACCCACACATTTTTGTACCAAAACGGACGGATAACAGCCAAATCAGTACGAACTACCAGTGGGGCGTCGCCTCACAATAATTACCTGAAAAATCGTCTGGTACAACGACGTAGTAATCCTGGTCCGAACAGCTCCTCCTCCTCTCGGTTCTGCCTGTAACAAAAAAACAACAGACCCGATTCAAAACCCGATACCAAACAAAATTCTTTTACCAAACCCGATAAGAAATTCGACCTCGGGTTCCATAATCGGAATGATATTCATCGGTTCCGCTCCGGATATTTAACCATTTTCTCACGACTATTTTAGGCCAAGAAGACTGAAACAGAGAGAAAGTTTCGAGGTATAAGAAAGTTGTTTAATAAATCGGCAAAAAATCGGGTTATTATGGTTCGGGTCGCTTACCTTTGAGATGCTTCGCTGTTTTGTTCTCATTGTTCCGCCGTCTGGTTTCTGGGAATCAAACCCACAATATCATGAATCAGAAGGAGAATCAGTTAGTGTTATATGCGGAGATTTCTCGTTTACCCAATTATTAAAATAGTGAAAGTCTGTCAAATAGGCGTTTAATCAAATAAAATATTGAGAAGAAAAATACCCATTTGTCAAATTATGTAATTTTGTATTTGTTTAGGATTTTGACATGGGAGTATTAAAAGGAGAATATAAAAGAGCTAGTTGCAGGGGAAATGGAGACAGCTTCCCGAGAAGGACCATTGACGAAAGAAGTGAAAAATGAAAAACAAGAGAGAGAGAGAGAGAGAACTGAGTACATCCTTTTTGGTGAAGTGTATTTGTTTTACAAGTTTAGGTTTAGGCCTTTACAGAGAGGAGGACAGAGTGGAAGAATAGATATTAAACAATTACAAAAGATTATATCAAAAAAGAGAAATCTTCATCAACCCATCTGAAAAAATATTTGCCTTTTTAAGTTCTTTCCCACATAAAACCCACTTTTAAGTCTCCATGAACCTAGAGGTCAGTAAAAAATAGAAGAAAATAAAACAGATGAAAGAAATCAATTAAAGACCCAATTAATTTCCCACAATAACTATTTAAATGGGATTGAAGAGAAGAAGATACCCCAGATCTTGAACATTTGTCTAGTTAAAAAAACAGAAACAGAGTTCAAAAATCACAAACAACATGCGGTATTGAGAAAGATGAGAAGCATTGCTAAATTACAGAGCAAAAAGAGAGAAAAAAAAAAAGCCTAGAGTAAATAAAGCAACAATGAATGATAAGAGTTAGAGAGAAGGAGAAAGCGACACTTACAAGAAATATAAACAGAGGAGGAATCAGAACAAGAAGATCTCTTTTAATATTCTCTCGTTAAGCTCATCTTTTATCGTCGTATGAAGACAAAGATGGAAAGAACCGCAGAGTAGGATGGTCGTTTTGCTTGCTCACTGGTTGATTTAGGAGGAGGAGGAGGAAGAGGAGAAAGGAAAAATGCAGAAGAATTTATTTCGTGGGTGTTCCTCGTACAAGGAGAAGAAGAGAGTTGGTTGGTTCTCAATTTATAGGAAGAAAGCTTGAGGGAGAAATTTGAAATCCAAATCGCAAGTGCAGTGGGTTATATAAATTTGGGGGATCGTCAAAGGCGTTCTTGTTGAGGGCAACCAGGATGCATCCCATTGGCTAAACTGTTTTCATTTAAGCTCTATATCAGTCAACCTTTGATTTTGGCTTGGGCTTCTCCAAATTATTTTTTAATGAAAGGGATAAAATAAAAGGTAATTCTCACAAAACTTAAAATCAAAATATCCTTTTGATATATTTAAATACACAAATTACCATTTGTAAATTTTAAACAATAATTTTCTAATAAATATTTATATTTAAAATCTTTAAAAAAAATGATTTTTACTGAAAATATAATTTTTAATTTTAAAAAAATAATAATAATTTTTACAATTATTTCTACTAGACACTAAAATATTTTTAGTGACAATCTATTTTATAGAACTTTTTTACTTCATAATATTAAGTGCAATTGCTTCAAACATCCACTTAGTTTGGATTAATTTTGTTCTTTCAAGGTTCTATAGTTTGTTTAAGTAAATTCTAAGTTATATTAGTTTTTGCTTCAAACATTCATCAAAATGACAGAACTTTTACTTACATTTATATACATATTAAGACATTTTTAATCGTTTTGTTAACCTTTCTCATGATTATTCTTTTTGAAATATATTCTCCTACTTTTCACTATATTTGTATTTTACAAATTAAAACTTTTATAAACTTTTAGAATTCACTGAATCATTCGTAAAAAAGAAATTTGATTGCACAAAATATAATTGAGAGTCCTCGGTGCATATGCTAATAAAAAAATTGAATTATTTCTCGATCACTAATGAGTAAGTTCTTTTTATTTATGTAAAAGTCCGGAACTTAAATAGAAATAAAATTATAAATGAAATACGGAAGTAAAATAATAGAGTTAGAGTTTACAATCCTTACACAATACTTTAGAATACCTAATATGGCTACGAGAATGTCCATTCTAAAAGAATAAACGAAAATTAAAGAAATAAACAAAAAACAAATAATTAAGCAATCCTATGACGACCTTTACTAACTTTTAAAGGGATTCGGGAGATGAACTATTCACAACCCTCTTATTGATCGAGATCTAGATCTTGATCCTCTTGATCTAAAATACTTAATGAAAGGGTGAGTTACACTAACCCCGTAATAATATCACACTACTCATTGATACAGAAACTAAATGTTGGTAAAAAAAATCATTAAAACAACCAATGAAACTCTTGATTTAAGTAAATTTATTTATCATAAGAAAAATCATTTATTGCATATATTTACTGTTGCGAAATTTTCGAAATCGGTCTATGAGACAATGACTCAAATAACATTCTAATCTTATATTCAAGCGAGTAAGAAAAATAACTTTTTTATTTTTATTTACCTACTGATATATCTGAAGGTCCATAGAAATGTTCAACTATACGTGAACCAATATATAACATTATCAATTAACCGGCCGTCCTCATACCCTATCCGATATAAGAGTAAATCGGACTGTCCCCATACCTCGTTCAGTATGAGTGCCAAAAATATCATCCCTCATTACCCCATCCGACGTGATGGTGAATTAGGTCATCCCCATACCTCGTCCGGTATGAGTGCCAAAATTACCATTCCTCGATATCCCGTCCGATATGATGCAACATTCATGGTAGGGTTCTCTATATTCCAAGTTCGTCCACTATCTTTCAGGATATCTAGTAAGACTACCATTCATTAATTCACATGACCAAATAATTTTTCGTTTGCATATTAATTACTATTTTCACAAATCAACCGTAAATCACACAAGACAAGTAATATATATATATCAAGAAAACACAACTAAATCATTCAACCATTTCAGTATCTCATCATGTATTTAAAGCTATAAATTCAACAATCAGTTAAACAGAACAAATAAAGAAGTAACTGGTTCTGTCTCCATTAGTAACCTGTAATTATTCTCAAAGTTTTTTAAATTACACAAAATACCATATGATCGATTATTAAGTTTTAATTGCATAACAAAGAATCAGGTGAGGGATTCTTACCTAAATCGGTGTCCGAAATACCGAACTTTCTATTGCACCTACTGACAGTCCCCGAATTTTCTGAATTTTCCTGCAGAGATAAAAACACACTTCACGTACCTAAAAATACCCCCAAAACTCTAAAATCAGTGTCAAAAATCTTTTTACGGCCAATTTTAGGATTCCGACATGGTTGTACAATCATGCTCCAGTGACAGCACCGCCGCCTGCGACGGCAGTTTGCCTTCTTTAAATGCGATCGGACGGTCGAGATCAAACGCGATGAAATGCTTAGATTAACGCAAGACGGGTATAAATATTTTGCATCACACCGAACTCAAACCCTAGCCGCTAGCCTCCTGCTAGAGAAGAAGAACTAGTCACCAGAGAAGAGAGTCGACGCCGCCCACCACCGCAACGGAGCACCTCTGACCACCAAAAAAGATAAAATTCTCATATCAACTCAAAATTTGATTCCAAGCAACTCGATGGCTAAATTTGATAAAAAAGAACGGTGGGTGAGCCAGAAATCGCGATCAAAACCTGGCGGTGTCGCCGTGGGCAAAACCCACAACCACCTCTGATGAGTCTTTTTCCGTTTTCTGTTTCATGCGATTTTTTCACCGTTGAATTCACTGTTTTATTTTTTTACAGGTTGACTGAAGAAAAATACCCAGCTGAGAAAGTGAGCCGGCGGAGCCGCCGCACCAAAAAATCACGCCACCGATAGGTTTCTATTTTTTGACCTTTTTTGGCCAACTAGACCCCCTAATGTGTTTTCTCGCAGAGATGGTTATAAAATAAGCCAAAACTAGCAGAAAACAGCCAGACCGAGATAAATCACCGCGGTGGGCGGCAGTGCCATCGCTGGAGCACGGTGGTGTCGCAGTGCTAGAATCCTAAAATTGGCCGAAAAAAGATTTTTTACACCAATTTTGGGTTTTTGGCATATTTTTATATACGTAAAGCGTGTTTTAATTTTCGTAAGAAAATTCAAGAAATCCAATGAACGTCAGTAGGAGATCGTTTATTGTGATTTGATCTCGACCGTCCGATTATATTTAAAAAAAGAACGAATTTGAACCGTTCATCGTGTTTAATCACGACCGTTTGATCGCGCCTGAGGAGGGAGCGGACCTGGACCGTCCACGCGCGCAGGAATACTTCCAGGTCATCCGATCACAGGGCACGCAAATCGTCAGCATAGCCTCTCGCATGGCACCAAGTCAGCGTGCTTTGTCACAGCGCGCGCTCCAGTTCGTCGAGACTGCTGACCGGGCAATCCTACGTGGCACAATTTTTCTTAATTGCGTTCTGATCTTTAGTTTTCAATTTTTCTTTAAAAAACACATTCCGAACCCAAATTTTCACCTATTTTTTTCAAAATTATTTTCAATTTCGTCATCATCTTATTTTTTTTATAATTTCACATTAAATTAAATTTTATTAATTTTAAAATTAATCTCGAATCAAATTTTGAGTTCGGGTATTATATTTTAAAAAATAATTACACATGTGATATATTACACTCATAGAATCTCAAAAGGAAGAATAGAGGCGCATATTCATTAAAATAAATTCAATGTACTTTAATGTCAATCTCTTATGGATCCTATTGTCACATGGAACTCACATAAAGAGTTGTTGCTCCCTACTTATCCCCATTTTTTGTCACATTACTCGTTATTTTATTCTTTTATCTATTAATATTTACAACTCTTACTTTTAGTATCATCTTCTTCAACATCCAATGCTAAAGGAATGACTCATTTACGAATCAAGACACAGCAACAAATCACTTCCCACCAACACTTTCTCAACTCCTTTAAAGAGATTGTCGAAAAGATTTTCAATATTTCCCTGATAGCAAGTAGTTATATCATGTCCAAAATTGCAAGTCTAATCTTGTTGGTTAAGAATCACCTAACACTCTCTATCTAGTCCTTTAATACACTACTAATATCAACTTCCTTAAACTTGCCTAAAAAGTAGCCATCAACATTGGATTTTCACATCTACATGAACAACGCAACCGCAAACCACTCAACTCGAGAACATCTTTTAACTAATGTCAACTTAAAAATTGACGCAAAAATATTACTCATGAAATGAATCTCATATTAGAAAAATAAGTTTTATAAAAAAAAAAAAAAAGAAAAAGAGACAGAGGAAGATAAGAATAAAAAGATATATTTTCAATCTTCTATAATTACTTACACAAACATTTTGTCCAGAAATATTTGGATTAATTTTATTTTAAAATTTTTAAGTTTATAAAACTGTAAAGCATAGGATAAATTATAAATTTTATGTTAATTTTTCAATTAAAGAACCAAAAAAAAAAACAACTATTTTTGTAGTTTAAAATTGTTAAGATTTCTCAAAAGAGAGAAAGAAAAAAAAAAGAAAAACCCCATAAAAACTCGAATTTTTTTTTTATAATTAATACATTTAGCATTTTTATTTTTTTATTTTTTGGTAGTAAAACAATTTAAGAATGCTAAGAGAAAAAAAAAAAACCCAAACTTAATCATCATATTTTATACAGTTAATTTCATAATTAAGTGATTAATTAGGTCAGCCCCCAGATTAATTCCAGGTAATTATTACATGAGTTGACTTTTTGTAATTTTCTTGAATATGTTTTTTCCTCTTCTGTTAGAAGGGATAGAAATTCATCCTTAATCCGCCAAGTGTAAGATCACCAAAGTCCTTGTTACTTCGTCTCAGCCATGGAATTTGTTCAAATATCGAATCAATTAGTACACGTGGAAAGCAGCTTTGCCACTAATTTTTATTTTATTTTTTTATAATAAAGAAATTAAAATTTACTTAACTTTATAAAAATTGTATTTTTTAGAATTATGAATTATGCAATTATTCTTTTATAAATTTTTTACTTTTCAAAGTCATAACCCATAATACTTTTTTTAATTTTATGTACGTATTTATCAAATAAAGTCATATAAATAATCAATTTGTCAACTTTGTAACAAGAGTCTAAAATTTCAATAATTTCTTATGATTTAATTTATTCTATTTGATAAAG